ACCTGTCCAGGCGCAGCTCACCTGTCCAGGCGCAGCTCACCTGTCCAAGTGCAGCTCACCTGCCCAAGTGCAGCTCACCTGTCCAGCTCTTACCTGCAGGATGACACTGTCTGGTTGGCTGAAGTTAGAAGAACTTGTGCGGGCATTCCCATTCTCTCCTGGGGTCGAAGGCCACAAACCCAATAATTTCCTGCCACATGTCAGGGCGCTGCAGACACACACAAACACACACACATGCATACACTTAATATACACACTCTTAATACACACACTCACTCTTTCTGAACACATGGATTGAAGCAGAAAAAAATGTTATGACTGAAATTTTTTCTACATCTAGAGTTTATGCAAGCACCCAACCCTTAGTTAGATTTTAGATGCAAAATCCCAGGAGGTTGGGGCACGGTGCAGGAGGAGGGGGTAATGGTGTCTCCCCCACCTGAAGGCACAGGGAAGCTACCCTCTTATCTACCTGGGAAAACTGCAACACAGAGGCACCAAGTCAGGAGGCTAAGAGTAGACCCACACCAGCTCAGCGTCTCTCACCTTGGGCAACTGCAGAGCGGAATGAGGTCAAGTCCCTCTCAAGGAGATTGGTTCCGGAGCCCATGCCATGCATTGAGGTGAGCCCAACTACATCTAGTCGGTACCTCTCAACCTCACGCACAAGCTCAGGCTCCTTCCCTGTCAGAGAGGTGTCCATGTCCCAAGAGCCAGCTTTGGTAAGGCAGGGTCAGAGTGCCAAGTCCCATGCCTTCAGCCACTGCCCATGGAGTGTACCCGACTCACATGGCCCCTCCTGCAGGTGGTCAGCCCACAGGAAGGAAAATCCATGTTGCTTGTTCAGAATGAACCCAACCGGACCCGATGGGTAAAGACTCGGTCACCAAGCACTCCCTGACGATCCCCTCCCCCAGGCCTGGCTCCAGGCCCTGATAACCCAAGTCCGGGCAAGGAACACTGAGCTCATTGCTTTTTTTTTGTCTATAAGAGTCTTTGGAATCACTCTTTTTCTGGCCTGTCAACTAGGACCAATCTGCCAGGGGCAATTACAATTGCCCCCGACAGCATAGCTCCTAGGATCAATCAGGTGCACAAATTCCTCTACCATGATAAGGTGGTGATTCATGGAGGAGTTAGAAATGCAGCTGCCAGGAAAAAGACAAAGAGGAAGGCCAAAGAGGAGATATGTGAATGCAATTAGAGAGGACATGAAGGTAGTTGGAGTGAGGACAGAGGACACAGAGGACAGAGTGAGGTAGAGGAGGATGACTCGCTGTGGCAACCCCTGAAGAGGGAAAAGCCGAAAGAAGTTGTTTTACTGCAGCTTATGAACTTAATATTATTTATCAAATGTCTAAACTTTTACAGTGTATCACTATTAAAGGCTAGTTTATTAGACTAGAGATGAAAACTATTGAGCAGAAATCACTCCGGACTCCTTCCAACAACATAGCCAATCTGCAGACCAGTGTTCTGAAATCATTGCGTTGTTTCAGCTTCTTGTATTTCAGCAACTGGGACCCTGTGTACATAATTTTGTTCCACATGTGGTGGAACGACAATAAAGAATATCGAAATCTGAATCATGTGACTCACTGTCTGAAGTTAAAAAGTGGCATGGTGACCCAGCCCAAGGCCTCAATGCTGCGCCGCTGCTTGCCCTTCTCCTCTCCTCCTCCAGGGGGCGGCAAAGGGCTAGCATACAGTGTCACCAACAGCTGAGACTCTCTGGGCAGTTGGTTGATCTGTACGGGAAAACAAACCCTGTGGGGTTGAAGAGATTGGTTAGGGGATTGGTTAAACTGTAAAAAATAAAAACACTCACGTTTATACTTAAAAACCTTGATAAATTAACAACATATGCCTCAGTAAATCTTGCCCAGAAAAGGGAAACCAGGGCACCCTCTTAAGGCCATGCTGAGGAAGGGGTGGTGCATCATGGAGTTTTCCTCTGTGAATGAAAGGGTTGTCTCTGCAACTTCAAGCTGCAGGAGGGAAGATTCTGACTGTTGTTAGTGCGTGTGCACCAAACAGTAGTTCGAATTACCCAGGCTTCTTGGGGTTTCTGGAGTGCAGTCTAGGAATTTTGTTTTTCTACATGGTGACTTCAATACCCATATGGGCAATGACTGAGTTATCTAGAAGTGGGTGATTAGGAAGAATGGTGACTGATCTGAACCCAAATTGTGTTTTATTAATGGATTTCTCTGCTTGGCACAGGTTGTCCACAATGAACACCATGTTTGAGTAAGATTGGTTCTTATGTGTACCTGGTACCAGCCCACCATACACCAAAGGTCAATGACCTTCATGATCTAGATGAAGTGACAGAGAGTATTTCCGGGGAGGAGAGAGTGGTGATCAGAGCAGACCTGAATGGTCATGTTGGTGAAGGAAACAGAGGGGATGAGGAAGTGATGGGTAGGTTTGGTGTCAAGAAACAAGGAAGGACAGATGGTGGATTTTGCCAAGAAAATGGAAATGGTTGTTTTCAGAACTTATTTCCAAAAGAGGGAGGAACATAGAGTGACCTATAAGAGTGGAGGAAGGAGTAGGCAGGTCGACTACATTCTGCGTAGAAGAGGAAACCTGAGGGAGATTGGAGACTGTAAGGTTGTGGCCAGACAACATCAGATTGTTGTGTCTAGAATGACTGTTGTTGTGAAGAGAAAAAACAGACATGAAGATCAAATGGTGGAAGCTGAAGAAGGAAAAATGTGAGAAATTCAGAGAAGAGCTGTTAAAGGCTCTGGGTGGTGAGATAGAGCTTCCAGATGACTGGACTACTACAGTAAGTCATTAGAGAGACAGGTAGGAAGGTACTTGGTGTGTCATCTGGACAGAGAATAGATGATAAGGAAATCTGGAGGTGGAATGCCAACTTTTTTTTTTTTGCCTTGAGGAGGCTTTGGCGAACTGTTCGACAACTCAGAAAATAAAAGCAGGCCCTGTCCCTGGCCGTGCTTGGTTTGGGTGAGGAATTGCTGAGCCAGACTGGGGATACTGAGTGGTGGCAGGAGCACATTGACGATCTCCCTAATCCATCCACAATGTCCACCTCAGAGGACTCTGAGGAAGAGTGAGTCCATTACTATGGCTGAGGTCAGCAGGGTGATCATAAATATCTCTGGTGGCAGGGTGCTAAGGGTGGACAAGATATAGTTCCATCTTGTAAGAGTCCTCGTGGCTCAGTAAAGCTAGCTTGTATAAATAAAGGTTGAATGAAAAAAAGATTCACCCTAAGATGCTAAAGGCTTTGGATGTTGTTGGGATGTCATTGTTGACATACCACTTTAATGTTGCATAGAAGACAGAGCCAACACCTGTGGAGTGGCAGTCCAGGGTGGTTGTTTGAAAAAAGGGAGACTGGAGAATGTGCTATAATTATTGTGGGATAACATTTTTCAGCCTCTCTGAGAACATCTTCCTTCCTGAGCATGGAACAGTGGCCCAGATCTTCATCCTTGCAGAGTTGCTAAGGGAGCCACAAGAGTTTAGTTCTCCAGTCCACATGTGTCTTGTGGACTGAAGAAGACTTATGATCATGTTCTCAGAGGCATTCTGTGGGGAGGGCCATGGGAGTATGGAATACCTGAGTTGCTTCTAAGGGTTATATAGAAACAAACGCAGGAGCTGTGTCCACATTCTTGGCACAAAGTCAAACTTGTGTGGGTAGGACTCCACCTGGATCGTCTCTCGTCTCATGGACAGGATCTCAAGGCACACTTGTTGAGTGGAGGGCGTCTGGTTAAGGATCTTCAAGGTCTTACCTCTATTTTAAGAGGGTGATGTGATTCTGTTTGAGTCTTTGGACAAAGACATTCAGCGTGCACTGGGACGGTTCCCTGCAGAGTGTGAAGCAGCTGGGATGAGAGTTAGCTCAAAGTCAGAGGCCAAGGACCTCAACCGGAAACGGGTGAAATGACCCCTCGGGTTGTGGGGGTGCAAATCTTTGCCTCAGGTGGAGGAGTTTCAGTATCTGGGCTTCTTGTTCTTGAGTGATGGAGCGGGAGATTGACTCACGGATTGGGTTCTTGTCTTCAGTAATGAGGGCATTGCATTGGTTGGTTGTGGTGAAGAAAGAGTTGAGTCGAAAGGCAAAGCTCTTGATTTATTGGTATGTCTATGTTTCAACCCTCACCTGTGCTCATAAGGTTTGGATCATGACCGAAAGAACAAAATCCTGGATACAAGCGGCTGAAATGATCTTTCTTCGTGGGGCCGAGCTCAGCCTCAGTGATGGGAGGAGGAGCTCAGTCAACTGGGGGAGCTCAACCACTGTCACTAGGGAGAAAGAGGTCTTGATTTCTCTCCTGGGTCCAGGAGTGAAGTGAAATGGAAACAGAGGTTTTTATACGTATGATGACATCACAATCAACACCCTCCACCATCAATCAGTTGCTGCTTTAATCTCTTTACATTGAAAACCGGTACATTTTAAATTCATTTTAAAATTTTAGTTCTTACTTTTAGAGCCCTGAGTGGTCAAGCTCCAGTCTCTGACCTTTTAGAGCCCTACTCCTCTTCTCGGAGCCTCAGATCTTCCAGTCAAAGGCTGTTAATGGTCCCATGGACTCATTTTAAGACCAGAGGGAATAAAGCTTTTAGGGCTGTGGCCCAGAGACTCTTGAATGGGTTGCCTCTGACTTTGCGTTGCCTTGATTCCCTCGATTCTTTTCAAAAGCAGCTGAAGACACATTTGTTCAGATTGGCTTTTAATTAGTTTTATTTTGTCTTATGTCATACGTATGTTTGATCTTTCCTTCCGTTTTATCTTTTGTGTTTGTATCTTTCATCCTTTGTATTTTTATGTCTTATATTCTGTAAAGCACTTTGTGGTTTCTGACCTGTAAAAGGTGCAATTTAAATCAAATTTACTTACTTACTGTTCTACTGAAATTCTAAAGATTCAGTAGATTAAAACAAATATGCAAAACACTGACAATAACAGTTTCAATAGTAAAACTATCATGAATCTTTTGACTCCGACAGATGAGAATGAAGTCTCGGCTAGGACAGGTGAGACTCAGATACGTACCTCTGGTCCCAGACCACCAGGTGGAACAGGTATTTGCTGACCGCCTGTTTGCTGGTATGCTGAGGTGCGCAGAGCTCCACCCCTCCGTGAGTCAGAGAGCAGGACATGAAGAAACCCTCGTAACTGAGCAATGACACAGCAAACAAACAAAAGAAGTCATTAGAAATCTGATCTCAGATCAGCGGACGTCTGCAGTTTGACTTCCTGAAACATTTACGATCAGATGTTTGTTCAGTTCATCACCATATCTGTTGGTCGTGCTGTTAGAAAAGAAAACATGAAACGTTTGCTCCTCTGACTACAAACTCCTTCTCTCACACAGATGTGACACATCAGGAGATGGGTCAGGCCCCGCCCGTCCCCTTGTAAGGTCACGTGTCATGAGTGGTCCCCAGCTGCTCAGAGCAACAGGAGAGAGAGAGGTGAACGGAAAAAAGCTTTCCTTTGTTCCCAAATGACAAAGATCTGGTCTTAGATCTGCCGGATCACTTATGTAATAAGGAGCTCAGAAACAGAACCACATATTGAGACTGTCATACAACAGAATTAACCTGTGTCTGTGGCCAGAAGTAAAATTACAACTAAACACTGCCAAACCAATTTATCACAATGAGGCCTTTAATCACAACAACTCAGTCTTTAATCACGACTCGGTCTTTAATCGAGACTCAGTCTTTAATCCTGACTCGGTCTTTAATCGAGACTCAGTCTTTAATCACGACTCGGTCTTTAATCGAGACTCATTCTTTAATCACGACTTGGTCTTTAATCGAGACTCAGTCTTTAATCATGACGACTCATCTTTAA